AATACAGGAGCACCCAGATTTATAAAGCAATTTCAAAAAGACCTACAAAGAGACTTAGACTTCCACACAATAATAGTGGGAGACTTTAATACCCCACTGTCAATATTAGACAGATAAATGAGACAGAAAATTAACAAGGATATCCAGGACTTGAACTCAGCTCTGGACCAAGCAGACCTAATATCTACAGAACTCTGCAGAGCTCTTCATCCCAAATCCACGGAATACACATTCTTCTCAGCACCACATTGCATTTATTCTAAAACTGACTACATAATTAGAAGTAAAACACTCCTCTGCAAGTGCAAAAGAAAGGAAATCATAACAAACAGTCCTAGAACACAGTGCAATCAAATTAGAACTCAGGATTAAGAAACTCACTCAAAATCACACAACTACATGGAAACTGAACAACTTGCTCCTGAATGACTACTAGGTAAATAAAATGAAGGCAGAAATAAAGATGTTCTTTGAAACCAATGAGAACAAAGACACAAAGTACCACAATCTCTGGGACACATTTAAAGCAGTGTGTAGAAGGAAATTTATAGCACCAAAGGTACACAAAAGAAAGCAGGAATGATCTAAAATCAACACTCTAACCTCACAATGAGAAGAACTAGAGACATAAGAGCAAACAAAATCAAAAGCTAGCAGAAGATAAGAAATAATCAAGGTCAGAGCAGAACTGAAGGTGACAGAGACATGAAAAACCCTTCAAAAATTCAATGAATCCAGGAGCTGTTTTTTTGAAAAGATCAACAAAATAGACCACTAGCCAGATTAAAAAAGAAAAAAATGGAGAAGAATCAAATAGATACAATAAAAAATGATAAAGGAAATACTGCCACCAAACCCACAGAAATACAAACTACCATCAGAGAATACTACAAACACCTCTATGCAAATAAACCAGTAAATCTAGAAGAAATGGATTAATTCCTGGACACATACACCCTCCCAAGACTAAACCAGGAAGAAGTTGAATCCCTGAATAGACCAATAACAAGTTCTGAAATTGAGGCAGCAATTAATAACCTACCAACCAAAAAAAGTCCAGGACTAGATGGATTCACAGCCGAATTCTACCAGATGTACAAAGGGGAGCTGGTACCATTCCTTCTGCAACTATTCCAAACAATCCAAAAAGAAGCAATCCTCCCTAACTCATTTTACAAGGCCAGCATTATCCTGATACAAAAACTAGGCAGAGACACAACAAAAAGAAAATTTTAGGCCAATATCCCTGATGAACATCGATGTGAAAATCCTCAATAAAATACTGGCAAACCGAATCCAGCAGCACATCAAAAAGCTTGTCCACCAAGATCAAGTCAGCTTCATCCCTGGGATGCAAGGCTGGTTCAAGCTACACAGATCTATAAATGTAATCCATCACATAAACAAAACCAATGACAAAAAACACATGATTATCTCAATAGATGCAGAGAAGGCTTTTGACAAAATTCAACAGTCTTTCATGCTAAAAACTCTCAATAAACTAGTTATCAATAGAATGTATCTTAAAATAATAAGAGCTATCTATGACAAACCCACAGCCAATATCTGACTGAATGGGCAAAGACTGGAAGCATTCCTTTTGAAAACTGGCACAAGACAAGGATGCCCTCTCTCACCAATCCTATTCCACACAGTATTAGAAGTTCTGGCCAGGGCAATCGGGCAAGAGAAAGAAATAAAGGGTATTCAGTTAGGAAAAGAGGAAGTCAAATTGCCTTTGTTTGCAGATGACATGATTGTATATTTAGAAAACCCCATTGTCTCAGCCCAAAATCTCCTTAAGCTGATAAGCAACTTTAGCAAAGTCTCAGGATACAAAATCAATGTGCAAAAATCACAATAATTCCTATACACCAATAACAGACAAACAGAGAGCCAAATCATGAGTGAACTACCATTCAAAATTGTGACAAAGAGAATAAAATGCCTAGGAATACAACTTACAAGGGATGTGAAGGACCTCTTCAAGAAACACAAATCACTGCTCAAGGAAATAAGAGAAGATACAAACAAATGGAAAAACATTCCATGCTCATAGAATGAATCAATATTGTGAAAATGGCCATATGGCTTAAAGTAATTTATAGATTAAATGCTATCCCCATCAAGCTACCCCTGACTTTCTTCACAGAATTGGAAAAAATGACTTCAGATTTCATATGGAACAAAAAAGAGCTCACATAGCCAAGACAATCCTAAGCAAAAAGAACAAAACTGAAGGCATCATGCTACTTAACTATAAACTATACTACAAGGCTACAGTAACCAAAACCAAAACAGATATATAGGCCAATGGAACAGAACAGAGGCCTCAGAAATAATACCATACATCTACAACCATCTGATCTTTGACAAACCTGACAAAAACAAGCAATGGAGAAAAGATACCTTATTTAATAAATGGTGTTGGTCAAACTGGCTAGCCATATGCAAAAAGCTAAAACTGGATCCCTTCCTTACACCTTGTGTAAGGAAGTGGGTGAAGGATATTAACATACACTTCTCAAAAGAAGACATCATCAGTGGTCATTAGAGAAATGCAAATCAAAACCAGAATGAGATACCATCTCATGCCAGTTAGAATGGTGATCATTAAAAAAATCAGGAAACAACAGATGCTAGAGAGGATGTGGAGAAATAGGAATGTTTTATACTGTGAGGGGGAGTGTAAATTAGGTCAACCATTGTGGAAGACATTGTGATGATTCCTCATGGATCTACAGCTAGAAATGCATTTGACCCAGCAATCCCATTACTGGGTATATATCCATAGGATTAGAAATAATTCTAATATAAAGACGCATGCACACATATGTTTATTGTGGCACTGTTCACAATAGCAAAGATTTGGAACCAACACAAATGCCCATCAATGATAGACTGGATAAAAAAAAATGTAGCACATAAATACCATGGAGTATTATGCAGCCATAAAAAAGATGAGTTCATGTCCTTTGCCAGGACATGGATGAAGCTGGAAACCATCATTCTTAGCAAAATAACACGAGAACAGAAAACCAAACACCACATGTTCTCAATTGTAAGTAGGAGCTGAACAATGAGAATACATGGACACAGGGTGGGGAACATTACACACCAGGGCCTGTTGGTGGGTGGGGAGATAGGGAAGGGATAGAATTAGGAGAAATACCGAATGTAGATGATGGGTTGATGGGTGCAGCAAACCACCATGGCACATGTATACTATGCAAAAAACTTGCACATACTGCACATGTACCCCAGAACTTAAAGTATAATAATAATAATAATAATAATAATAATAAAAGAACAAATCTGGAGGCATCACATTACCTGACTTCAAACCATGCTACAAAACTATAGTTATCAAAACAGCATGGTACTCAATAAAAATAGGCATATAGACTAATGGAACAGAATAGATAACCCAGAAATAAAGCCAAATAATCACAGCCAACTCATCTTCAACAAAGTAAACAAACACTAAAGTGGAGAAAGGACACCTTATTCAACAAAGAGTGCTGGGATAATTGGCAAGTCACATGTAGAAGAATGAAACTAGATCTTCACCTCTACCTTATGATCAAAGACTTGGAAATCTAACACCTGAAACTGTAAAAATTCTAGAAGATAGCATTGGTAAAGCTCTTCTGGACACTGGCTTAGGCAAAGACTTCATGACCAAGAATCCAAAAACAAATGAAACAAAACCAAATTATTTATATTACATATATTATCTATTTATGATGGGACTTAATTAAACTAAAAAGCTTCTGCACAGCAAAAGAAATAATCAGCAGAGTAAACAGACAACCCACAGGGTGGGAGAAAATCTTCCCAAACATGCATCCAACAAAAGACTAATATCCAGAATCTACAAGGAAGTCAAGGAAATCAGCAAGGAAAAAAACATAATCCCATCAAAAAGTGGGCTAAGGACACGAATAAACAATTTTCAAAAGAATATATACAAATGGCCAATGAAAAAATGCTCAACATCACTAATTATCAGAGAAATGCAAATTAATACCACAATGGGATACCTACCTTACTCCTGCAAGAATGGCCATAATTTAAAAATTTTAAAATCACAGATGTTGGTATGGATGTGGTGAAAGGAAACGTTTTCTTTTATACTGCTGGTGGGAATGTAAACTAGTACAACCACTAAGGAAAATAGTACAGAGATTCTTTTTAGAACTAAAAGTATAGCTACCATTTGACCCAGCAATCCAGCTACAGTACTGGGTATCTACTCAGAGGAAAAGAAGTCATTATATGAAAAAGATATTTGCACAGGCGTTTGTAGCAACACAAGTTGCATTTGCAAAAATATGGACCCAGCCTAAATGCCCATCGACCAACAAGTGGATTAAGAAAATGTAGTATAAATATACCAGGGAATACTACTCAGCCATAAAAAGGTATAAAATGATGCCATTCATAGCAACCTGGATGGAGTTAGAGACCACTATTCTAAGGGGAGTAACTCAGGAATGGAAAACCAAATATCACATGTTCTTCATGTTAAGTGAGAGCTAAGGTATGAGGATGAAAGCCCTAAGAATGATACAATGAACTCTGGGGATTCAGGGGGAAGAATCCCAAAGTTCCTTCCCCAGTGGGAGAAGGGTAAGGAATAAAGGAGTACACATTGGGTGCAGTGCACACTGCTTGGGTATTGAATGCACCAAAATCTCAGAAATTACCACTAAAAGACTCATCTGTGCAACAAAAAACCACCTGTTCCCCCAAAACTCTGGAAATAAAAAATATATAATTTATGCAAACAGATAAAATATTAGACCTTTTTCTTTAGTATAATATATAATTCTAATTTAATTATCAAAATCCTTTATTTTTATATCACTATATCTTGGTAATCATGTTTAAATATCACTATTGAAGATAGACTATTGAGTTTCCTTATTACCCCAAATATTAACTATACTAGATATTGCTATTTGGTCTCAAGAGAATGGATCCTTAAACAGACTCACTCTTCTAATGATCGATCTAGGCCTCGGTCAGGAGATCGATGGTGAGCACGTTCTGGTGAATGGCATTTTGTATTTGGCTTCATTGTAGAACTCATATGATAAGCATTACTTGAGTAATTTTGGCGGCGAAGTTCTTGCACGGCCCTCTCCCTAAAGCAAATAGTGATGCTTTAAAATTTTATATCCAGCAAAATTATTAAAAGTATCATAAAACTGTAGCTTGATTTATACTTTAAAATCTAACATCACACACAAAAAACTAAAACCTAAGAAATAATGCTTTCCATGCTGAAAAGCATTGTTTTTGAGCTTGCATCAAGATAAATTTACCTTTCAAAGCGCTCTGTTCCTAGTTGTCTTTTGGTAATGTCTAAATCAGCTTCCAATTGTGTGACAACATTTCTGAACTGGGCCACATCTCTACTCTGGATGGCCCTATTTAAAAGAAGACAAGAATTACAGTTGACTAAACTTAAAATATGGCTATGATTCCTGGGGTACACGAAACCATATTTACAGTGGTTTCTCAGCTGGATCCAAATCACAATGTGATTTTCATGGCCAGATTTATTAGTGCATCTAAAATATGCCAATGTTAGAGACATGGTAAGTATGCAAAGTAGACTACTTGAAAAGCCTAAGCAATCCCAGTCTCATTCAATTAAACATTCTCTGTTTCAGTTTCCCTGTGGGATCACATTATATATCATCTATCTATACTATTTACTATAAATAACTTTTTATGTAAGTACTTAGAGGTATTATATAAAGTAGTAGTATGATCAAATAATTAACACTGGAATTCACTAGCTCCATGATTAATATTGTCTGTTTTATATATATCTATTCAACCAAGTGCCTTATAATAAAATTTGATATACACAATATTTAATGTAATAGGATCTTCCTTAAGGGTAAACAATGGCTTAAAAAACCTTTGATAAGGCACAATATCATAAGAAAGATAAACATTGATGAATGTCATTCACACAGAACATTCTATCCTCTTCGCTTGCTTTCAGGATAGTATCATAGACTGCTGAAATCTAAACTTTAGAGACTAATAACATAAACGTTTCACATGCTAATTCTACATGTTAGTATTTACCAGTCAGTCTAAAACAGAGCATAGCTCTTAGGGTGGAAGTTTTGGCATATTTCACTAAGGTAGATTTCCACCTACCACCTTGAGAAAGTAATCCTGCAAAACCAGTTGAAGAAATCATAATAGTCTAGCTATCGTAATGAAAAAGAATGACTCAGTCACTGCCACCATAACCTGAAAAAGAGGAAACTGGCCCTGGCTCTGAAGCCCTTACCTAGTCAGGGGTTCCTAGGAATGGCTGACTGCAGAGACCATGCTTCTTATCCTTCCCCATATTCTGAGCTCTTATGCGATGACAAAGTGGAGGCTGGATGGAAAGTGTTATAGATGGGATAGGTAAGGACAGAGGTTAAGGGTCCCCTATCAGTTTTTGTGAGGTGACCAAGTTTAATAGAAAAAAAATCACTATACAGGCAGGCATTTCGACCCAATTCTCCAGCCAAAGGTCTTCTAATAAGGTGCTAGGAGTGCTAGAGATCCAAAAAAAAAAAAAAAAAAAATCAATGTCCTGGGAAGTCCTGTATTTTGTGAATGCAGGTGTTTTTCTAGGTACCCAGTACACATTATAGGCACAAAAGAAAATATGACATGGCAAATGCAAACATTACGTTGCAATGTCTTGGTCTAAATATGAAAATTCTTCTGGTTTCAGACTGCTTATTTTTTTTCTCATTTTGTTATATTTCCCAAAGGCAATATTTTAGATCAGATATTCTATTATACTCAAAACTCTGTTGGAGAGAATAGAGATCATTAAACTTAAATTTAGATAAGAAAAATATAATAGCAAAAGCACTGTCTCTTCGGCAAATCATAATATTTCTGATCCTCTGTTTAATTAATGGCATATAGGAGGCAAATTCTCTAAATTCTAGTTTTAAAATTCTACTCAAGACCAGAAATTTAAGATGTATGACTTTACATTGCTAAACAACTCACATTTTATTTTCTGCCAAACAAAGGTGTTCCTTAAGAAGCTGAATTTCAGATTCCTTTTCTTGAAGTGCTATCTGAGACTGATATTCTTTGTCTCGATTGGCCACCAGCAAAGCTTCTAGATTCTGCATGGAGATTCTCTCATTTGTCATCTGACTCCTCAGGAGTTCAATTTCAGAACGAGCAGAATCTAACTCATTCTCCATCTGTACAATAATAAAAAGATATCTACACTTGTTCCCATTAATTTACTTAACTATTACATTATCAGGGACTCACAAAATTTTCATAATCTGTTATAAACTGGCAAATACTTTTAATGTGATTTGAAATTGTGTCCCTCCTTCTCACCAAATAAACACACCACACATGTATATATAGTATCACTTTCTCCATCTCTTTGATCACATCAGAAAATTCCTTAAGAAAAGGCTTATTAATTTCTAACTGCAACCAGTTTCTACTACCAGCTTTGATATTTCTTTACATACTCCTGCAAGACTGGCAGGATGATATCTGTGAGTACTGTTTTGTCCTGAGTCAGGTGAGCTACATGCTTATAGAATGTCATTGGACTCCATAATTAAGGAATATAAGGAGTAATTGTACACTCCTTCTCTTGTGGAAAGCTTCCTTTTTTTTTTTTTTTTTT